TAGCACTGTCATCACCATGGATAAATCCAGACTCCAGGCCCTATGTTTGGTCCCAGCCCCTCTTGCTGGCTTTAGCCCACATGACATGCCTGCAGGCATCAGATTCTATTCCCAACACTTAACGAGTTGTGTGACCCTGGGCAAGTACTTAACCTTGTTGTGCCTAAATCTCCTCTTTAAAAGCTCTTTATAAAAAGTGTATCATCATTTTTAGGGGAAAGAAGGCACTTAGAACAGTGCTGCATATGTAGTAAGCACTGAAATGCTAGCTTTTTATTGCCCTGGTTTTCATAAGCAAGTGCTGTCGTCTGCACACCTCTCCCCTGGGCGCACACATCCTCTCCTTGTTACCTTTGCTCAGCCCAGTTCCTCATTCTAGAATGCTCTTCTCTGCCCACCTACTCTTCCCCACCCTTCATGGGCCACTGACCTCCCATTTTGCTTCCAATGAACCCTTGTTTGCCACTTCCTGCCGTGCACTCAGCCTGGCTGGGTGGCGGTGGGCACGTTGGGGTAGATCAAGCCAGCCAGAGGCCACACATGGCACGTTCTTCCCAGAGGGTCCATTTTACTTGGTAAGTAAGTTCATCCATTTTTTTTTTTAAGATTTTATTTATTCATTTGAGACACAGAGATACAGAGAGAGAGAGAGAGAAAGCATGAGCAGGGAGAGAGGCAGAGGGAGAGGGAGAAGCAGGCTCCTTGCTGAGCCAGGAGCCCGATGCGGGGCTCGATCCCAGGACCCTGGGATCATGACCTGAGCCGAAGGCAGACGCTTAACGACTGAGCTACCCAGGTGCCCCTAAGTTCATCCTTTTTTTTTTTTTTAAGATTTTATTTATTTATTTGAGACAGAGAGAATGAGAGACAGCATGAGAGGGAGGAGGGTCAGAGGGAGAAGCAGACTCCCTGCTGAGCAGGGAGCCCGATGCGGGACTCGATCCAGGGACTCCAGGATCATGACCTGAGCCGAAGGCAGTTGCTTAACCAACTGAACCACCCAGGCGCCCAAGTTCATCCATTTTTAATGTAACGGCAACTACTCGAGCATATCATGGAATAGAATACAAAACTGGCTGGAGATTTTGCGGATAAAAGATACAAGTAGTAAGAATATTCAGAGTGGAGGTGTCTTGGGCCCACCTCCTGCTGCACTGGGGGGCTCTGCATTCATTCTGCAGCAGAAGGGTCTGAGGAGCAGGGGTGTGGTGAGGCACTGAAGTCAGACAGAGGGAACCACTGCAGTAGGAGGGGGCTGTCCTGGGCTCAGGGTCCCCACAGTGAGGGTCTCTTTAACACACATGCTCTCTCCTTCCCGAGGACTCAGTGTCGCTACCACTCCTAGTTGCCCCGACGACGTGGCCTCTGTATCACATTGCTTTTTTTTAACTTTCCACACGGGTAGATCTTCTCTGTTCAGCAGCACCCCAAGCTGGAGCGCAGGTGCAGGAGCGGGGTGATGCAATGAGGAAGGTAGCCCTGCGTGTGAGTCCAGCCTGGTGTTTCCTGATTGAGCAAGTCTCAGCCTCAGGTGCCTTATCTGTGAGCCGTGGCTAATACTTACCTAATGACAGTGTTCTGAGTCACTCCAGTCAACCACATAAGGAATGTGCAGCATTCAGCCCAGCAGATGGCACGGAGGGCACTTGGTAAACGTCAGACTCCTCCCTGCTGCATGAGGCTCTCAGCAAACATCAGATTCTCGAATGTTCCCACCGATACCATACCTTCCCACCTGCATCTACTCCCACATCCTTGGCCTCCCTTCCTGTCGAGCTGGATGCTCCTGCCTGAGGCCACCCTCTCCCTGGGTCCTGGCCCTTGTCACTTTCACAAAAGCCTCACTCATAAGACCACCACCTCTGTCCCCTCTTGGCTCACTTTCATACTATACATGCTCTAGTGTCACTCTATCTAAAACAAAAGACAAGGGGTGCCTGGGTGGCTCAGTCGGTGAAGCATATGCCTTTGGCTCAGGTCATGATCTTGGAGTCCTGGGATCAAGCCCCGAGTCCAGCTCCCTGCTCAGCGGGGAGTCTGCTTCTTGCTCTGCCGCTCACCCCACTTGTGCTCTCTCTCTCTCAAGTAAATAAATAAAATCTTTTTAAAAAGTACATTTAAAACAAAAGACAAAACGACACATCAGAACCCCTCCCTTGAGGGGTGCCTTGGTGGCTCAGTTAAGGGACCAACTCTTGATTTCACTTCAGGTCTTGATCTTCATGATCTCATGGGTCTTGAGATCAAGCCCCGCAACAGGGTTCTGAGCTCAGCGAGGAGTCTACTTGAAGATTCTCGCCCTCTGCCCCTCCCCCACTGGCACTCATGCTCTCTCTCTCAAATAAATAAATCCTAAAAAAAAAACCCCAAACCCTCCTTTGATCCCACGTCCCTCTGGTCACCACCATTCCTCTGCTCCCTTTACAGTAAAAGTCCCTGAAAGAGTTGGCATGCTCCTGGTCTCCACTTCCACTGCCATTCACTCTGAGCCCACTCCAGGCACACTCTTACCCTGGCACTCATGGAAACTTCTTGTCCCCAGTGACCTCTGCATTGCCAAGTCCAGCATGCTGCCCTGGGGCTTCACTTTACGAGCCTCTCCAAAGCATCTGGGACTCTGAAATGCCTTCCGTCCGGGCCTCCCAGGCCCACGCCTCCAGATTTTCCTCCAGCCTGCCACCCCCAGTCTCCTTCCTCGCCTCTAAGCATAGAAGGTGCAGGCCTGTCCTTGGACCACTTCTGTCTCCATCTGTACTCGCACAGGTAACCTCATCCACATTCAGGGCTTTAAAGATTATTTATTTATTTATTTATTTATTTATTTATTTATTTATTTATTTGACAGAGAGAGAGGCAGCGAGAGAGGGAACACAAGCAGGGGGAGTGGGAGAGGGAGAAGCAGGCTTCCCGCGGAGCAGGGAGCCCGACGCGGGGCTCGATCCCAGGACCCTGGGATCACGACCTGAGCCGAAGGCAGACGCTTAACGACTGAGCCACCCAGGCGCCCCCACATTCAGGGCTTTAAATGCCATCTAAAAAACGCCCACATTTACAGCTCAAATTCAGAGCTTCCCAGAACTCCAGACTTGCGTATCCACCACCTACTCCCCAGCTCTGCTTGGGTGTCAAGCGCGAACTCCTGATTCCCCGGCCCTCCCCACCCCTCTCAAGTGTTTCCCGTCTTAGTCGTGGGAACTCTGGCTTTCCAGCTGTTCGGGCCAGAGCCTTTGGAGTTCTTCTTGGCTCCTCTCTCTCTGACCCACAGCCAGCTGATCTCCCCACCCTGGTCCAAATCACCATTACCTCTCTCAAGGCTGACCCCAGAAAGCCTCCTGAGCACGGTGTTGCTGCCTCTTCTTCCACCAACTCCACAGTCTATTCTCCACCAACAGCCAGAGTGGGGTTTTCAACACATAAGCTTGATTATGTCATTTATTGGCTTAAAACCCACCAGTGTCTTCCTGTCTCGCTCAGATTAAAATCCAGATTCCTTATCTCAGCCTGAAAGGCCCTGTGGGAGCGACCTGCTACCTCTCTGGCCTCATTTCCCACCATACTCCTCTCGCGCCCTCTGCCCTGGCTGCGCTGGCCTCCATGCTGTTCCTGGACCAGGGTGCACACACTCCTGTCTTGGGAAGTGTGCTTGCTGTTCCTTCTATCCAGAGCACCCCCGTAGGTGCAAGGCCCATTCCTATACTTCGTTCAGGTCTCCGCTGAGATGCCACCCTGTCAGAGAGCCTCCATGGTCAACCTCAGCACTCCTGGCATTCTTTGACCTCTAACCCTAACTTTGCCTACCACAGACCACCGCGTGGCATTATATTTACCTGTATGTCTTCTTTGATCTCCTCACCACTAACAACACCCAACTAACAACACTCTAGAGCCCGGCGTACAGCAGGTGCTCAGCAGATGAGCAGGTGCCTGGGTGTAGACAGGAAGAGCCTGTGCACATGGCCTCTCATCACCACATACCTGCTGGTGCTGCTGAGCAGTGCCACACAGCTCTTCTGGGCTTCAGGCCCCCTCACTATAAAATCTACCTTGACAGCCCTTTAGCAATTTTAGAGATGATTCATTTGAAGTGTTGAGGCACGGGCAGGGCCCAGGACAGTGGGGGTTGAAGAGGCTACTTGGCTGCTCTGTAGGCCTGTCCTCAAGGAGTTAGTAGTGCTGTCTCTGTCTGCCCAGGATGGAGGGCTGGTACAGCCAGTGAAGGTAAACACAGTGCAAGGAACACTGACCCCATTCTCCATGTCATACCATCCCGGGGTCCCCTAAGCATTGTTTCTGCTCCACCCAGTTCCCCACCAAAGCGCATCAGATGATGGCCATCCCTGAGCAGGACCTGCAGGTTGAAAGCCTCCTCAACCCTGCTTTGGATCCAGGTGGCCTCAATGTGGGAAGCAGAGGTGCTTGCCAGGAATCCGTAGGTCTGGACTTTATGGGGCGTGGGCCCTATGGATCCTCCTCCGACAAAGACCCATTTTGTAAGCTTGGGTGGGTGAGAGAAGGCTGATGCCAGGCTAGGTGGCAGGTCAGGTAAGTTTTTCTCTGGCTGGTCTCTGAAGGTGGCTAAAGAGTAGTTTCCCGTGGCGCCTGGGTGGCTCCGTCGTTAAGCATCTGCCTTCAGCTCAGGTCATGATCCCAGGGTCCTGGGATCAAGCCCCGCATCGGGCTCCCTGCTCTGCAGGAAGCCTGCTTCTCCTTCTCCCACTCCCCCTGCTTGTGTTCTCTCTCTCTCTCTCTCTCTCTGTGCATCTCTGTCAAATAAACAAAATCTTAAAAAAAAAAAAGAGTAGTTTCCCTTTACACCACCAGGGGGCGCCAGAGGCTGATCAGCTCTAATGAGGACTTGTCCCACAGTCTATAGACGTGTCTAGTCCCAGGTCTAGGGTTGGGCGGCAGAGGGAAGGCGTAGTGCTGGTTCTCTCCCACCTATCAACTTGCTGGTGGCTGCCAGCCCACGCAGGGCCACATTAAAGGACTGGAGGTCAGGCTTCCAGACTCATTGTTCTTTATTGATAAGCATTAGTGAACCTCTTGCCAGTTTTGCCCTCAGATTCCCAGCCTTAAGTGGGGAGTGCATCTTTGCCTCGTAGATGGATATCTGCCTGAGTCTGACCATGTCAAGGCTGTGCCTATTTGCCACACTATTCCCAGGACCACAGTGTTTGTGGTCAGGGAGGCGTGTAGCAGGCATCTGAAAGGTCATGGCCAGGTCCTTGTCCTCAGAGACCATTCTCCACGTAGGAAGTGCAAGCTTCAGCTGTGTTGGCTCTCAGAGGGGGCTCCAGAAGCCTGCTGGTTAGATGGAGGGCTGAGCCTCAGAGACCTCCAGATTCAGCCTCTTTTCTCTATGAGGCTCTTTTCCTGCCAAAAGTTCTTCACAGCAGAACTGAGCCAAGGGGGCAGCAACCAGCTCTCACTTGTGTCTTGAGGTTCTGGGATAGCGGGCAGGAGGTCTTAGGTGCGCCTCAAAGGGGATAGAGATGCCAGAGGCTGTGCGAGGGGAGGGGACAGGGAGGGAGAAACCCGAATCAGTTAAGTCCTTGATCTGAGTTCACCAGCCCCAATTCTTGGCCATGGTCTATAGTCCTTGGCCAACCCCTCTGTACTAAGTAGATAGTCCCCTGGGCCCTGGGTGCACCCTTCCCCCACCATTAGCTCAGCGATAAGGATTATTAAAGCCATCTTCTGCCTTCCCGAGCCAGGCACCTCAGAGAATCCTCTTGCCTGTTCAGCAAGGCCCCAAGCCCGTATCCGTGTCCTCTTCGGGTCAGGGCAGCCCCCACCCCGGGGGCCAGCAGGCTGGCGGTGCCTGGCTCCCCTGAGAACCCTCCCTGGCCTGTCTCTGACCTGCGCTGGAAGCGGGGATCGCCAGGGTGGGTCTGTAGCACCTGACGCACTTCTGGGGGAGGCTCCAAGCCCATCTGTTCCGCCCGATACCAGCGCTGCAGCCGTGTGATCCCTGCGGGGTGGGAAGGAGACGCGGGCACCTCGTGGGGGGCGCGGGCTAGAGAATGCGCGTGGAGGGGTGTGTCAGGACCTCCACGCCCCCTAGTCTCGGGAGACCGTGCCCAAGAGGGTCAGGCAGGGCCTTGGGTTGCTTCAGGGGCCTGAGAGGGTTCTCACCTGTGCAGGGCCCATACTGCCAGGCGAGATCAAACTGCCTCAGCAGCTCCAGCTCTGCTTCATCCACGCTCAGCGGCTGGGGCTCTTCCCCTGCAATGACATGCTGCTCCTCAGGCCTGCCCAGGCCTGTGCCCTGCAAGGCCAGTCCCCTGCCCATCGCCTCACAGCTGCCCCACTGCTCCCCGGCCCTCGCCACCCCTTTGCCTCTGCCGGCCACTGCCAGGCCTGGAGTAGGAAGTAAAGGACATACTTCACTTCCCCTTCCATTGCCCACGTCCGCCCACGTCCTCTCATGCCCCTCAGCGGTGTCCACTACTCCCGCCCCCCCCCCACGTAAGAGACCTAGCTCTGGTGCCAGCTCCCCCTTGCTGTGCCCAGCGGGGCCCTCCCTCCTCTTCACTACAGGGTAGGAGTCAGTGATGAGCCGCTTCCGGCCCATGGCGGCCACCCAGGCAGGCAGAGAAGGAGGCGACTGCGGGGAAGGAGAGAGACAGGCCAGCGGGCACGAGAGAGACAGCTGCTGAGGGAGAGAGAGAGAAGAGGGCTGGGGCCAGAGAGCGAGCCTGGGGCTAGCGACGGGCAGACAGGGTGACCCAGACAAGCGGAGAGGAAGTCCGCTGGTTCCAGGGAATGACGCCTGTCCCCCACCCCCACAAGCGCACAAACATCAAAGACCTAGACCAATGGTTGGCCGCCTCTGCAGGGCGGGGCCCGGCTCCAGCCAATGGCAGGCGGCGACGGCAGAGGGGGCGGGACAGCTGCTGCAGCTGTGTTCTGGGGGAGAAGGGGTGAGGCTGGGGTGGGGGACCTGTCAAGATGCCCCAGACTGCACCACCTCCTCCTGCCCCGCTCCTCCCCATTGGTCTGCCGTGGGTCTCAGGGGACTTATAGAGCGTTATCCTCAGGCTCTCACTTCCCGTTTTCCCTTCCTAGGCAAATGTTCTTTTCAGCCTCAGTAATCCCCGTGGCGGGTTGGTAACTCCCCAGAGTCCAGCTGGAGCCTCCACTCCCACCCCTTGTCCCGCAGAGCCTTGTGGGGGCAGGTCTGGAGGTCTGAAGAGCGTTTGGGCTAATCCAATCCCCTTCCCTGCTCCCACCCCACCCCCACCGGCCCCAGGAGACCTGGCTGGAGAAGCCCATGGGTTCCAAAGCTCCTTTCTCACAGTCTGTGCCCAAAGACCCTGCCCGCTCTTCGTCCAGGCAAGCGTTGGCCTTGTCGACTCTCCGGGGGTCCCGTAGCCTGCACATGCCTACCCTACTAGTCAGGAAGATTCCACAGTGAGCAGGAGACCAGAGTGTTTGTATCCCCAGGTCTTTAGCAGTAAAATCTGCCCTGTCTCACTAATGTGACAGTATGAGCAGAAAATACCAATGATAAACTAAACTCTTACATGGCACGGTGTGCCAAGTACTGTTCTCAGCGCTTTCCTACATATTCACTCAACTAAACTAGATGTAAAATGCTGCCTTTTTTTTTTTTTAAGTAATCTCTACCCCCAACGTGGGGCTTGAGCTCATGACCCCAAGATCAAGAGTCACACGCCCCACGGACTGAGCCAGCCAGGCGCCCCATAAAATGGTTTTTCAAAGTAGGAAGTGCTGATTGTCACAGGCATTGTGGGGCCCCAGTTAAACCACAGTCCCTCTGTGCCCTCCCCACCCAGGAGCTCAGAGGCTAGTGGGGTAGGAAGATAGGATACACAAGTTGTCAGTGCAAGGATAAAATTCCTAACAAACAGGAAAGGGGAGAAGGGTGGGTCAGAGAGGAGTTGGACCACAGGGTTGGCTCAGCACTGGAAGACCTCCTGGAGGAGGCGGGCTGCTGTAAACAGTGTCTCTCAATTCTCCACCCATGACCTTTGTCCCTTGGGCTCCTGTCATCGCTGAGTCACCCCTTCACCCGCCTCCCCCTCACCAACTTCCTGGCAGCAGGCAAAAGTGCTGGTCAGTGGGAGTCTGGGAATCAGCACAGGGGCCAGCCCAGCTCTAAGTGCCCTTTAGAGATCCCATCCAGCTCTTCCAGGAGAGCAGGGGCCTGCCCAGACACTTCTGCCTCCCCTTCTCCCACTGCTCCGGGGCCTCAGTGCTCTGTGTTAGGAGTAAGGTGGGCATAAGAGAGGAAATGCTCTGGACAGGAGACCACCAAAGGGGAGGAATGAGAGCAGCTGTGTCTTCAGGGGCCTCCTCCTGCCTGGCTCTCCCCATGCACTTCCTTGAGGAGGGCTGAGTGGGAGTCAGAGCTCTTGAATGCACTGCACAGAGCTGGAGGGCCCTTCCCTGCTTTATTTTCTGGGCTGGGCCTGGCCTAATCCCCCATCTGCCTCGTGGACTAAGTGGGGCCCACACTGAGGGAGACGGGGGCCCTGCTGCATTGGGAAGGAAAACAGGGAGGCCCTCTCCACATGCCTGAGAAGGGCTGAGGTGTGGGGTCCAGTCAGGCCCTCTGCACTCTACAGAGGGATGGTGCCCAGGCTCTGTGGGACTGACCACTCTCTCCCCAGAGGGCGATCCCAGAGGTGTGTGGCACCTCACTCCTGAGCCCACAGAGCCTTGAGGGAGTAGGAAGCCATGGGTGGGGCAGACCCCTCCTCATTCCTGGTCCTTCCCACCCCTGAAAGCTGATAGCCGTGGGGCCCTGCCACCGCCCAGGGAGCGTGAAATGGGGTGTGCCTCTGGGCGGCCACAGTGGCTCCTACCGCCGCCCGGGCGCATTCCCTCTCTCTTCTGGCACCCGGACCTGCTCTGTGGGCACTGTCTGGGCCATCCCTGCCGGCTGCCCCCAGCTCTGCCTGGCCCAGGCCCTGCTAGCCTCTCCCACCTAGCCTGGAAGATGTCTCCCTTGGCCTTCAGCGTCCCCCCAGCCCCAAGAAAGAATCCGGGCGGTCAGCTCAAGGGCAAGTGGCCTAGGACCGGTTTTCTGGCCTAGAGTCGAGAGAACTGTCCACAGGCAGCATTGCCCTTCTGTCCTAGTCAGACAGTAGTGGGACTGAGCTCCCTGACTCAAAGGAGTTGGCACCCAGGAGCTTTGGAACCATCCCTGTCTAATTGGTATCCTTCCCCAACTTGGTGTCTGGATCCCTGAGGTGTGCTGGCCACTAGAACCTTGGCCTGCCATCCTCAGGTCTTTTCCTTCTTCACTCCTCTAACCCTGTCTGCCCCTCTCACCTTTCTTCCTGGAACCCCTGTCCCGACTCAGACAGCCTCCTGTCCTATCCCCAAAACTGCTATGGTGGGGCCTATCACAAGTCAGGCGTCAGGCTGGAGGGCCAGGTCAGAGGTCTGAGTTGGGAGCTAAGTTCTCCCTCCTTCAGGGAATTTCCTGAGACCCAGGAGCCTGTTTCTATGTCAGCTCTGACCCCCAGAGGCTGGTGATGGGACTAGCAGGAGTGACCTTTGCACTTTGCAGGAGTGACCTTTGCACTTTGCAGGAGTGACCTCGGCTTGGGAACACCCAAGGGCCTTGCTCTAGGCCAAGGCCAAAGTCTTGGGAGAACCCGAGAGAAAAGAGAGCAAAGAACTGGAACAGGAGCCCAGCACCTTCCTGAGGGCTGAGGCCCACTGCCTACTCCTCCAAAGGAAAGGGGGATTAGGCCTGGCTTAGCTCAGACAATGTGGCAGGGTGGGGGGCCTCAGCACTGCGCAGGCGCCCTGGGAGCCCCTTCCCCCTCCCCCTGCTCACAATGGGGCTTCTGGAGAGAGCCAGCTAGAGCTAGGAAGGTGGGGGCAGGTAGAGGGAAGGAAGCAGCTGCCTGGGGCCCAGCAGGCTGTGGGGCGTAGCCTGCTCTCCTTCCTGCTCTCCTTCCTTCTCCTCAGCAACCCCCTTCCTCAGGCCCTCAGGCCCTGCCACCCACCCTGAGCTGGAGATTCTGGGCAGCCAGATTCATATCCCCAGCCCCCACATATTCACACGTCCTGGGCCCCATTCTCCACCCTGTGGGCCAAAATTCTTTCAGGCGGCCCCTCCTAGTCCATCATGATCCTCCCAGACACCCCACCTCTCCCTGCTCCAGGGTCTCCGGCCTAGTGGGCTTAAGGGGCAGGAGGCTGACAGAAGGCAAAAGTTCTCCTGCGTCTGGGTTTTTCTGCCACTGGCTGTCTCTTCTGCTTTGTCCCAACCACCCCGTCCAAAGCTCCCATCACCTTCCCTTTCACCTTGGCCAGCCTGGCCCTGGAGAAATTCTGGGGACATTTGAAAAGGGATCCTTCTGGCCATTTCTCACCTTGGCCACCAGGTGTCAGACTTTGTCTAGCTGGGAGGAAGGTCCTAGTTAGTTTCCACCTCATCCGCCAGGCCTTAGAGATGGGGGCAAGTTGGGGAGGGGCCTGGAGGTGACCTCTGAACTCGGGAGGCCAAAAGACCCTGAAGGTTGGGAGAAAGAAAGGGCTGGAACTCTGGTCCTACAGTTCACAGCTACTCCCTCGTTGTCCCCACCCCCACCTCACTGACAAGGGCTTTGTCTACTGCTGGGAATCGGGGAGCCAGGCTGAGTCAGGGAGCTCAAGAACTACAGGGACAAAGGCAGAGACAGTTGTGGCTCCAGAGAAGAAGGGGGAGCTGAGAGGCAGCAATCCATCAGAGCACTCAGCCAATGGCCTAGATCACTGGCCCTCACCCTGCAGGTTAAGGGGAACAAGGGCTTTCCTTTTGGCCCTTCCCCATTTGGGGTGGCCGTGGCAAGTGGGTGAATGTGTGCACGTGTCTGTAAGATGAGTGCTTGAATGAGTCTTTTCACACACTGAGAGGGCCCCAAGTCCTCGGGTGCTGGGCCAGTCTCTGCAAAAGCAGGCAGCTGGCCAGGTATCACTACCCTTTAGCCACCCTCCCCCTCTCCTGTACCCGCTCCTACCCCTGCCAGTGACGTTGCCTCTCCCAAGTGACAGCTCTCCATCCTCTGCACATCCTTTCACACGCAGGTGCGTTTCTGGATACTCAAGATGATGCTGAGATTTCTAATCCACTCCATGCCATCTGGATGGGGATGATGGAGGAAGAGAGCCTACTCTCACTACCCCCTCCCCGCTCCCCACTCCTACTCTCCCCAGCCTCCCTGGAACAGAAGGACTTCTAGAGATGTCCTCTCCTCTGTGGCACTGCAGGGCCCCAGGCATTCCAGGTTCTTAAGCTGACCTCTGCATCCCTGGGCCCCTGACTCTCAGGCCATACTTAAAAGGTGGGACCTGGGATAACCACCACTAACTCATCACCCCTCCTGGAGCTGCCGTGGGTGGAGAACCAATAACAAACAAATTCAGAGAAAAGCCTGATGACTTGTCCTTTACCAAGAGCTACCTACCTCTTGGTCCACAGCTCCAAAACCCAAAGGGGGGACTCACACCCCGACACCATCAGTAGGGAGCTATTTGGGGGAGAGTTCAAGAACTCTGAAATGCCCTTTCTGGCTCGGTTCTCCTCTGTGTCTACCTCTCCCACCTTGCTGCTGGGGGTGCCCCCTCTGCATCTTCCACGGGAGCCACCTCCAGCACTTGCCCACCCTTCCCGGTCACTCTCCTCCCTTTCCCTCTGCTACCTGCCCTGTGTTCAAATGGTGTTCAAAAGCACCATTCCTAACCCTCTGGAGTCTCAACCAACCCTCAATTCTCTGCCATTCCTGCTTTATCAGTCCTTGGGCCATGGGAAGCACCCTGTCTTCTCTCTGTCCTCGCCTCTGGCCATCTGTGGCTTGATGGAGAATGTCACAGCCCATGACAGAGATGCGTGTGCTGATGTCACCTGGCTCCACGAGGCTGCCCAGCAACGATTTTGATTCCCTTCCTCTGCTTGTCCCTGATTCCATTCCCTAAGGCTCTCTACATTCTTCTCCAGCTGCCACCCCTCCCACAGCAATTTCGTCTTTAGATCTCTCTGTTTGAAACAACAGCAAACCAGCCAACCCATACATCAGTGCTCCTGCTACCCATCTAGGTATTCCTTTTGCCACCAAAGCCCGGGAGAATACACTTACCCCTTCTTCTTTCTCACCACCTCCTTTAATCTCACAATTTGGCGTCTGCCTCCCAACTGCTCTTGCAAAGGTCACCTGTGACTTCCTGATTTCTCAGTGGGTTTCCCCCCGAATTCTTCCCCCAGGGCTTCTGGGGCCTCTGACACTGTTGATCGGTGGCCTCCCAAAAACTCACTTCTCTTAACTTCTCACACACTATTGCTTGACACTCTTTAAATCAGCTTACGTTAAATTCGCAAGTACTTTACTTCGGTGCAGGCATTGTGCTAAAATGCTGTAGGGATGCAAAGACGAATAAATTATGGAACGTGCCCTCGAGATGCTATCCGCTTAAAAGGGAGACAGACGCACTGAACTGACCCTTGTCCTGCCCTCGCCCAAACCCTACCTGGAGAGGCCATGCAGCGGCACCTGCTGTGTGTTGGGCACTGGAAGGACGGCGGTGGTGGCAGACACCATTGCCTTCCCGTGAGGCTTACAGATCAGCACCCCCAGCGGAGGGATGCCAGCCTGCCTTCCCTGTCTCCCGGGGATTTCATCCGGGTCTTTCCGCAGCTAATCAAATTCTGCCTTGGAGTTTAGCATTTGGGGCAAGGGATCCCTTTTCTACGTGGTTTGGTTCAACACGCTAATTGAACACCTTCTTTGGGCTTGCGCCTGACCTGGGATAGAGAGATGGGGAAAACTCAAAGTCGGCCCCCAAGAAGCTCGCAGTACAGGAGTGTGGGACATGCCTTCCTTCTCCCGGTATTCTGTATAGCCCCTTGCTTGGTGCCTTACACCTGACAGGCTGCTACTCATTTTGCCCCAGCGTGGAGACAGCCCAGATGCCCTCTCCTTCCTATCTTGTTAGACAGGAAGCAGGCCTACAGGATATCTAGCCAGAGCCAGGGCAGATGTCCCTGCCCAAAGAGCCTGGACCCCTCTATGGGGCATGTCCCCTCCAACTTGGGCCAGGTGACTGTGGGACAGTCAGCAGAACCCGGCTCGACCATAAGCAAGTCCAGTAGCTCTTGCACCTACACTCACGCACCCGGCGGTAGTTTCTACCGACGGTAGTTTCTACCGACGGTCTTCTCTCCCCAGATGGATCACAGGCTCCGTCAGGGCAGGAGCCAAGTTAGGTCTCAGACTTCTCTTGGATTTCCTACTCCAGTTAGCGTAATGATGGGCAGGTCTTTAAAGTATTTGTAGATTGCTTGACAGGACCATCATTTGTTACTTCCTTTGCTTAGGGCACCATCTCCTGGTAAAATACCTGTGTTAGCTGGGAGCAGTCAGCCCAACTTACTCCGCGGTCTTCGCTAAAGTGTCCCGGCAGGCCGATCTGTCCCACGTCCCATGTCACCTGATTACTAATCCCTGCTGCTGTGGCCAGGCACCTCACCTTTATTGTTTCTCTCATCCTTCAAACAATCTTAGACGGCTGTTTCATCATCCCCATTTTACAGATGGGGAAAACGGAGAATAGAGAGTTTAAGTAACTTGCCCAAAGTCACTCTAGGAGGCTTCGAGGCTGGGCTTGGAGCTGAGATCATCCCTTGAATAGCATCTACCCCATTCGCTTGCAGACCAATCTGAGTTTTTCTCTTTCCCCCTAACCTGCTGACTTACCCTGGAAAGAAAGGAGTAGAGCCACAGCTGAGACTTGCGACTTGGCCGCAGTCAGTCACGCTCCCCAGGAGAGGAAGGGTATTGAGGTGAAGGTCACAGCTGGGGGCCCCAGTGGGCTGCCACGGGGGTGGGAGGACTGGCGAAGCTGAGGGCTGACTGTGCATGGCTGACCGGAGGGACAGGTGGATGGCTTAGGGAGACAGACCTACGAGACCCTTAAAATAATCTTGAGAGGTGAGGCGGGCTGAGCAAAGGCTGGGAGGGGGCAGGCAAGATGGTGGAAGGACTAAAGGAACACGCCATGGGTGGAGGAACAGAGTGTGCTGCGTGCACACCCTCCCTGTGGACAGGGCAGAGCCTCTTCCCCAAGTTCTTTGCCTCTCCGAGCTACCCCTTGGACTGGCAGGCTCCGAGCCCGTGGGGGCGCGGGAGCCCAGGAGGAGAAGGGCCAGGAGGAGGAGCAAGGCCCAGCAAAGAGATGAAGTCCTGGGGCAAGCATTTTATTTGTTAATACAAGAATAGAAATTCTGCAATAAATATCATCTAATAAATAACATCTCCAAATAAATAAATATTAATACAACAAACTTAGAGTCATGAGTGGGTGAGGCTGGGGGGCAGGGCCTGGGGGGGCTGCCCCCCGCAATGCTACTGCAATGTAAACTTTCAGGGAACCCCGTGGCTGTGGCTACTGTTGCCCTCCCCAGCCTGGGCAACCCACAGCCAGCCTGGAAACGGGGTGGGGAGGAGGCACCGTGATGCCGGCGACAAGATGCAAGGCAAGGTCCTTTTGGCTGCCATCCTGTACCACCGACTGCCTTGGTGACCCCTGGGTCCGGTCTGTGCCTGGCCCTATGCTTTCAGTACCACCTCCAATGCAGACCCTTCCTCTTCCACTTTTAAATCCCATTTTTTCCTGTTTGGACTTGCCACTGTGTACGTTTCCTGAATCGGATGTACTGAGTTATTTGGGGACAGGGGAACAACACCCATCGAAGAAGAGTGGGGCAGCCGAAGGGCTTCACCCCAGAAAGGCACATGCTGTGGTGGCCACCCTCCCTGCCCTACAGGCACGCTTCCCGGGAGTGCCACTGGAGGGGCAGTGGGGTGCTGGCCAGTGCTGGGCAGGACGCAGGAAGCTGGGAGAGCCTTTGCACCAACTTGAGCCCCTTGGGGCTCCCGTGAGCATTCCTTCCTGTGGCGATGGGACAGGGCCTATTGCACCTCTTCCCCAGACCTGCACGACTTTGGGAAGCAGGGAGGGGACAGGCCTTATTGCATCACACCCTCTTTCAAGTCCGGAGAGGGCCAGAGGCTCATGGCTTCTGTCTCCTGGCTCAACGAGTGTTGGCATACAGGTTTCTCCCTCCCCGAGCGGGCGCAGGGTTTGAAGGAGCAGGGGAGTGGGGAGGTGGCGAAGGTCAGAGGTCAGAAGCCGCGGGCCTCCAGGTGCAGGGTGACTGCAGCCGCGGGAGGCTGCATCTTCTTCTTGAGCCGGTTGAAGTCCTTGGCTGAGCGCCACAGCCAGGTCTGCAGCTCCTTCAGCAGCCAGAAGTCGTCCATCTTCTGGAGGAAGTCGCTGTGGGCAGGGCCAGGGGCCCAGGTGGGCTCAGTGCCGGGCAGAGGCTGGGGCAGAGGGTAGCCCAGAGCCGCCATGACCCCTGCGATGCTGCCCAGCAGGCCCTGGAGGCTGGTGCAGAAGTGGGCCAGGCTGCGGCGCAGCTCAGCCGTGGCCGCCTGGCGGTTGAGGCCTCGCAGGTAGCACAGCAGGTGGCTGTAGGCCTCATAGTTCTGGGTCAGGCGCAGTTTGTCGTTGAGGCTTCGCCACACGTCCAGGTTGACGGTGGCCCTGGGCAGGGTCTCTGCCCCCAGCCGAGGTGGGTTGAAGTCAGGCTCGTTGAAAGGGGGGCCCAGGTAGTTCAGCTGTGAAAAGGAGAGGGCGATGGGGAAGGAGGAGGGCCGAGTAGCCAGCGGTCACCAGGAGATACCTGCCCCCAGAGCTGCTATGTCCTGTGTCCCCTGACACTGGCCCCGTCTCCACACTAGGCCCCTCTCTGTTCCAGGGCCTCCCCCAAGTTTCTCTGGGGGTGTCATCTGCATGGAGGTGACAGCTGAGGCAGTGGGGGTGACGAACTCCCCTATGGAGAGGTGTGGAAAGAGAAAAACTCGCAGGAGATACTCAGAGAGGACGTGCTGATTGGCTGTGTGTGCAAGCCTTGGGAGTGGGCCCGCCGCGGGGCAGGGCAGAGAGGAAGAGGAGCCAGGAGGAGCCAGGAGGCCAGGCTGCAGAGGTGGAAGGTGGACCAGAAGAGTGCAGAGCCAAGGAGAGGAGTTCGGAAGGCAGCAGTACTGGAGCATGGCTGCAAAACAGATCGAGGAGAGTGAGCCTTAGGAAATTCCGCTGGGTTTGGCAAGAAGGAGCTGCCTGAGGACCTTGGAGAGGACCGCTTCAGTGGCCCGGAGGCCAGACTGCAGGGGGTTAAGGAGTGAGCGGGTGGAGAGGAAGCGGAGGCAGAGGGTGTAGACCTCTCCTTCGAGAAATCTGGCAGGGAAAGCCAGGAGAGAAAAAGGGTCGGGAGCTGGAGGGGGTAGCAGAGTCAAGCAAAGGTTTTTGGCCAGGGAGGGAAAGGCGGGTGGAAAGGCAGAGGGGCCCGTGGGAATCAGAGCTCCATTTGCCTCCCGATGCCTCCATGCCTGGTCCCACGGGCGGAAGGGCAGGGGACAGACAGTGCTCCCGAAGCACTAAGTGCCCCAAGGAAGGGCTCATAGGAGCAGGGCTGCAGAAGGAAGAAACTGAGGCAGTCTCAAGAGTTGGGCTGGAGGAAGGGTATAGGAGGCAGTCTAGGGAAGAGGACAGAGCTTGGCCAACCCTCAAGGGAGGGGCCTGGGGCCCAGGGAAAGGGCTGAGGGGGACGTTGCAGCCAGAGAGAAAGGGAGCAGAGAGGGGCGAGGCCTGGGATAGGCAAGGGCCCAGGGGGAGGTTCACACGCTGACAAGCACAGAGACAAACTAATTTCCTCGGTGTATCCTGGGGCTGGAGCCAGCTCCCCCGCCACCCTCCTCCCCTTTCTTTCCCTGGCTCCAGAGTAGGGTCTGGGATGTGGAAGAGGAACACGGGAAGAGGGGGCCGGTTCCCCATGGTCCTCGGCAACTCTGACCCTCTCTCCTTCCCTCCTGGGCTCTCAGAACACCTCTGGACTGCCCCCAAATCCTTATGGCACAACTTCCATCCACACCCTGAACCTCCTGCCACTACTGGCCTGGCTTCCCTGCAGCCCCCTTCCCCCAAGTCCCCCCTAGGAGGCCCAGCTAGGATGGGAGAGGCAGACAGAGGGGAGGCCCATGGGTCCAGAGCAGCAGGGCCCCAGGTCTGGGGCAGAGGCGAGCTGGAACACAGGCATGGGAGGTGGGGCCCCTCCATCCCCACCCAGCCCCGCCCATGCAAGAGACACCAGGACACGGTGTAAACAGAAGAGACTTCCCCAGCCCCCAGGGGGAGGCGGGCGGCTGGGCCGGCAGCCAGTGGGGCAATGGGCCAAGGTGGGTGCGGGTGCGAGGCCTGCCCACATGCCTGGTCCTGGGGCCACGGATGGGGAGGAGGGGGGCACCTAAGAGGGAAGGGCAGGAAATGGGCCAGACATGGGGACCATTTGGAACCAAAGGGCCCCCCTGGTCACCGGTGCTCACTGGGACGCCTCCACCATTCTGTCTCTCTTCCACCAATTGCTCATTCGTTGCCCAACTCCCAGACCTTTCAGCCGCCCTGGGTACTCACGTAGGTCCCAGCCAAGCTGCGGAGTTGGTGCTCCAGGTAGCGGGTGAGGTCGTAGGTTTTCTGGATGGAGGGGCCAGGCCCCGGGTCCCCTGTGCGATTCAGGGCTGGCACTGCAGGGAGGTGCCAGAGGACAGTACACAGGCAAGCTAGCATCCCCCACGAGTCCCCTGTGGACAGGAGGGGCAAGAAGCATGAGGGCGGGCGGGCCCAGTGGAGGACTCAGCTGGCAGCCCCTCAGGTGTCTGTCTCCACCTTGGGCTGGGGTGGGGGAGGAGGCGGGTGAGTGGGAGCTGCCAGATGGGAGGCAGGGGGGTGGAGGAAGGGAGTGTTCCTGGCCGGGGTGTGTGTGGATGGAGGTATGTATGTGTTTGAGGACCAGGACTTGGCCTCTGTGTGTGTATCTATGAGCACATATTGGAGAGTATATTAGTGTGTCAGCTGAGAGTCACCATTCGTATGCCGACACATAAAATGTGTGCATACGTGGAGGGACGGGGCCAGGCCTAGGGTCTGTGAATCAGTATTCCTGGGTTCAGCCTCCTCTCCCAGCCTCCCAGTCCCACTGGAGCCAAGGGGTGGGAAACAGCACATGTCCCCGCTGCCGGCTGAGAGCAGTCAGCCCTGGGAAGGGCCCGAGAGAGGCTGCCCCGAGACAAGTCCAAGCTGAGCCATAGGAGGCAAGGGGTAGGGTTAGATCCCCAGCGTCAGGCTGAAGGACACAGGGCTGGCTCCTGTCGTCAGTGGTGGGTACATTCTAGCATAGGATTCCTGGGTGTGGACTGACGCAGGGTGGAGGTTTGCCCCATTCCTATCTAGGAGGTTGGATGGGGAAAAGTTTGACCTGAATGAGTTTGTTGTTTAAGATGTATTTATTTATTTCAGAGAGAGAGAGAGCGTGCACGTGCGCGTGAGCAGGGGAGGGGCAGAGGGAGAGGGGAAGCAGACTCCCCTGCTGAGCGTGGAGCCTGACTGGGGGCTCCATCCCAGGACCCCAAGAGATCATGACCTGAGCCGAAATCAAGGGTCAGAGGCTTAACCAACTGAGCCACCAGGTGCCCCTTGAATGAGGTCCTTTGATCAGCCTGCAGTGAAGAGGGAGGGTGGGGGAAGTGAAAGGGAGGAGGAGAGGGAATATGATGTATTTGAAGCGTTTGGTTTGTCAGCCAACGGTGCTGGAGAGTTTGGACATCTTGAGATACCAGAGCCCAGGGTTCAGTTCTGTGAGGACAGACGTAGGCAGTTGGGAGACGTGATTTTCCCAGCTTTTAGGTGAGGTCCACGGTGAAGAGAACGAGGCCAGGATTCAGTGGGCATTGGGACTGGGTAAAGGCAATTAAGGTTGGGTTGGGGTAAGGCTATAATTGGCATTGGGCTAGGTTAGGTTTAAGGACTGGGTTACTTTTAAAGTTTCAGGTTAGTTTATTAGGATTTGGCTGATTGAGTGTGGTTGAGGTTTGAGTCCAGCTGGGGGATGTGGTTAGGTTTGGACAGGCACAGGGTTCGCTGGGGCCAAGGTCTGTGAATGTGTTGATTTAGATGTCAGCTGGGGTAACACATGGCACATCACAAAGAGAGGGCTGGTTTGGGTTTTAAGCTTGGGTAGGTGTGAGATCATGAGTCGTTTCTTCTACTTTCTCTTTTCCACTTTCAAAGTTTCATAATGACATATGTGATGGAAATGAGTTGGATATGCGTTTGACAATTTGACTACTTAGAGTTAGGGGAAGTTTGGAGTTAGTCGTAATGCTGAGTCAGGGTTTTAGAGAGGGTTTAAGACTCAAACTGTAGAGAATGTCTCTTACAAGGGTGTAGGGGTCAGGTAGGGACTTCTGCAGTGGCCCAGTCCATCAGTCTTGACTCTTTGAGATGCTTGGTTGGCAACTTTATTGATGGAGCATGGGAGTGGGCAGGGTGGGGGAGAGCACCAGTCTCAGAGACCCTGCCCCTGGGGATGAGGGGCTCTTGGTTTGAGAGCATGGGTGGGTGGGTGTGTGCGTGTGTAGACAGAGAGCAGCATCAGGCAGGTGACTGACCCCGTTGTCCTTGTCCCCATCTGCAGCCCGTGGCTTCCCTCCTGGTGCTCCTTTCCTTATTCTGCCTTTCCATGCCTAGCTCCTGCTGACTCTGTGTTCCTTTCTATTCACTGTTCCTCACATCCCAAGAGAATTCCAGGCCCTTCTCCTCTGCATGAAGCCTGGGGCTACCCTCAGCCTCGATATCTGGCAGAGTCACCTCCAAGATCCAAAGGGTACAATATGGGGTTAGTTTTGGAGGTTGGAGACATGCTGAGGTGGGCAGTGGCCCTTCCAGCCTTGAATTAGCAGCAATGCTGAGGGTCCCAGCTGAAACCCTGGGAGCTGGGCTCACCTCTTTCCCCCACCCTGCTTTGGGCAGCCCTTCTGGCCAGAGTTCTGAGACTGGGCCAATGGCATGGAGGGAGATGGGGGAGGGGCATGGGGTCAGGACCCCAACTCTGGGCCTTGTTTTCCCCTCCCCTTCTGGGCCCTGTGGGACATCCCTGGGGAGAACCGGCTCCCTACACAGGGACAAGAGGGGGAGAAGCCTTTGGATAAACAAGAGCTAAGTCATCTGGGCAGAAAAACGGCTCATGAAATTAACCAGACGGGGCCGGTGTTTCCAGGAATATTTCAGTTCTGAGGTAACTGTGTCACTGCAGGCTGGGGGGTGGGGGCAGGGGAAAGAGCAGAAGGATCGTACTGACCGACCCATAGAGAGAGCCAGAAAGAAGGAAGGAGTCTCAGGTATCTAGAGGGAGAAGAGGCTAGGAGAGGAGAAAGGGGACAGGGCTCTACTCTCTCTTTTTTTTTTTTTTTTAATGTTTTATTTATTTATTCATGAGAGTCAGAGAGAGAGAGAGAGGCAGAGGCAGAGGGAGAAGCAGGCTCCCCGCCTAGCAGGGAGCCCAATGGGGGACTCGATCCCAGGACCCCGGGATCATGACCTGAGTCGAAGGCAGACGCTTAACCATCTGAGCCACCCAGGCGCCCAGGGCTCTACTATCGATTACAACAGCTTCCACTCTGGGCAAGATGTCCCCACATCTCAGGCAGCAAACTGATAGCCATCTGGGGCAAAGAACACCTGTGGTTTAGTTGTAAGCAGTGGAACTCAGTGCAGCTTGCAGCCTGCCTGCATCCCTGGGAGGGAGAACTAGGTGGGCATCCTGGAGCCCTCTTCCATCCTTCTGGCCAGGCTCACGGTGTGCAGGTGGACGGGGCCACTGGGGGCTGTGTCCTGGGCCCCCTCCCCCAGTCCTGGCCCCTAGCCCAGCCCCCACCCCAGCTCTGCCTCTGGCTGCTGCCCACTGATTGTTTACATCCCGTCTTCCCTTGTGTTTATAAATCCGGCTGAGCACGTGAGGAGCTAATGAGTGCAGCTCACGTTTCCTGCTGGAGCCCCCCACCCCCCATCCTGGCCCCCGCCCGGGTGGCCCCTAATTCCATCCAGATCCCTGGGCCCTGGGAACCTAGGCCCCCCTCGTGAACACACACACACACACACACACTCAGCCCACGCAAGCGCATGGCCACCCTGACAGGGCAGCACAGGCAGGCATAGCCGTGTTCGCATGTCTTTAGCCAGCCGCCCCTTGATCCCTGACCTGTATCCTCCAGGCTGACCTCATTCAGTGAGGGTGGGGGCTCAGTGGGGCAGATGGGCCAGGGTGGCCAGGGTGGGCAGGACAAATCAGCCAGGAGACTCGGCACCTGGGACGGGTGCATAAGGGCTATCAGCCAAAAATGTAGGAGCCAGGGAGGCATCACAGAGCTCCAGAGGTGCTGAAAAATGTGGGAGCCAGCCGGAAAGGCTCCGCCCTCAGGCCAGCCCCGGACCAGCTTCCCCGGTGACCTTGGAGCGATCTGGTGAGGGGAGTTGGGAGAAGGAAGTGGTTTAGGGCTGGTGTGTCCACTGCAGTGGGAGATCCAGGCACTGAACTGTAGGAAATGGCCCTCGGGGGCTCCTCCTGACCTGCCTCCTCAGGGAAAGGCCCACAGAAGCAGCCCATCTTTCCTTGTCCTCTGGGCTGGCTGCCCTCCCCTCTGTCTCTTCTCCCTTCCCTCCTCTCCTTGGTTCCCTCTGCCCCAGGTCACTGAGAAGTGCTTAGTGAGTGAGTACACATAGGCCCAGAAGTCAGGAGCGCGAGCTTTGCCACCAACCCATCAGGTGACGGGGCTTGCGCGAGGGTCGCGCTATGCACACTGAAGTCCCTCTCAGCAGAACCGCGTCGGCCCCATCTCTGCTGTCATCTTCAGCAGCCCCCTCCCTGCCCTTCTCTTCCAGCCTAAATGACAGAAGAAACTGAGGCCCAGGGAAAGAAGCGGACAGGTGGGCGGGCCACCCTGCCTTGTGAAGTCAATATGGATACAGGAGTTGAGCTGTCAGAGTGAGAGGGTTCTGGATTGTGTTGCAAGAGGATCCCAGGTGTTCCCAAGGGGTGCAGGATGAAGCTGGGGGAGCTAAGCAGCCAGCTAAGAGCCAGGCATGGGGACCAAGAGAAGGAAATAGTCTGGGCAAGTGTAGGGGTGAGTTTGAAAGGGTGTTGTTATTCAGAGGTGTGGGAGGGGCTGGGAGGGAGCGGGCAGGAGCCCCGGTGTGAATAGGCAGGTGGGATTGGATTGTGGGGAGGAATGTGAAGTGTCACTAATAGAGTAGCTGGTGTGGCCAGGTGGTGTGCACAAGTGTGAACGGGGAGGAGTGCGGGGCTCTGTGGAGGGGAGAGGGAGCCATTACACCAGTCTGGAGGAGAGACTGGGGACGGGAGGGCTGCAAGGTGACTACTTGCTGCCATCTCCCTGGTGCCTGTTTTCTCCCCTGGTTGAGTGTGTGGCTCAGGGCAGTGAGGGTGGCAGAGCCAAACTGTGGGGGGAGGGGTGGGTTGCTGTCTGGTCTCTCCTAGGAATGTGTCCCGGTGTCCCTAGGGAGGGGCAGTGTGTGCTTAGAGCCGGAAACGGGGTCTGTGGGGGTTGTGAAAGCTGGGAGGTGTCAGCCCCTCAGGGTCAGGGTCAGGGTCAGAGAGTGTCTGACAGAGGTGTGTGTCCAGTGCCCTCACCCCCAGCCTCTGTCTCCAAGGCTGGGGACTTCCAGCTTCCCCTCCCTTCCCCTCCTGGCAGCTCCCTCCTACCCCCGCCAGGAGGGCCAGGCCGGGCGCTGGGGGAACCTGGGACGGGGTCCTCTGGGACTGGGGGGTCTGTGGGGGTGGGGGCTTCTGGAGCGCAGTGTGGAGCCACTGGGAAGGAAGGTGGGAAAGGCAGAGATGAGGGGACTCTGGAGAGGCCCGGGGGACCTGGGGTTTCCCCCGAGGGGCTCGGCCCGAGAACTTGGCGGCGGCGGCCGCTCGCGGGCCCTCCCCCTCGGCGGCGACCTCTCGCTCTCGGCCCCCTCCCCGCAGCGGCGGCGCCTTCCCCTTGTGTGGCCTCGGCGCCCCCGGCCCCGCCCCCGGCCCGCTCCCGCCCGGTCGCTCCCTTCCCGGCGGCGGGGGCGGGGGCGGGGTCCGGGGCGCCGGGCTCGGCCCGGCCGCTGCCCTTTCCCGCGCGTCAACTCCCTGCCCTGCCCGCCCGCCCTCCCGCGGGCCGCCGGAGTCGAGCGGCCGCTGCCGCCGCTCCCCGGCCGGTGACGGACTTTCTCCTGCCCGGTCCGGCCGGGCTGCGCCCGTCCCCCGCACGAATCACTCCCAGGCCACGGCGGGCCGGACCGGGGACTCGCCGCCGCCGCCGCCGCCCCGCCGCCCGGCCCCTACCTGCCGCCGGCTCCCCGGCCGCGGGCAGCATGGTGGGCTCCAGCCGCGCAGCGCGCAGCGAGGAAGCCGCGAGTCCCGCAGCCCGGCCCGGCCCGGCCCAGCCAGGCTCGGCTCTGCCCTCCGCCCTCCGCCCTCCGCCCTCCTCTCCTCTCGCCGCCCTCCTTCCCGCCCTCCCCTCCCGGCGGGCCGGGGAGGGAGCGCGGCGGGCCCGAGGTGTCGGCCTCCCCTCGCCTCCCGCCGGCCCGGCCTCGGGCTCCCCGCCCTTCTCCCCTCTTCCTCCCCGGCCCCCTCCTTCCCGCGCGCCGTGTCTCCCTCCCGCATCCCCGCTCCCCGCCTGGGACTCGCTCTCCCTGACTTTCGCGCGGGGCGCTTTCCGCCGGGATCCCCGGGACCCCGTCTCGCAGGGGCTCCAGGTTGCCGGCTGCCCTGGCCAGCGGGTCGCGCGGGCTCCCCGCCGCGCTCCCAGCCACCTCCTGGCCCGCCGGGCGGACTTCAGGAATGCCGCGTCCCCGCCCGGCCCCTCTCGAGGGCGCCCAGCCGTGCCTCCCCCGGCCCGAGCCCTGCTGGCGGGGTGGCTCCCGGCTCCCCAGCCCGGCCCCGGCTCGGGGCTCCCGGGGGAGGCACGGGAACCGGATCTCGCGGCTCCCGGGCGGGGGCGGGGGCCGGGGCCTCGGACGCCAAGCTCCTACCTGCTCGGAGGTCCATGGGGCTGGGGGCCGGGCCGGCCGGGCGCGGCTCCTCTCCCGGAGGCTGGCGGAGTGGGAGGGCGAGCCGCGGCTCCGGCGAAGCTTTAATAATCCCATCCGCCAGGCCCACTCGCAGGTTTTTTTCGCTCGGTTTCGGATTTTTTTTTTTTTTCGGTGTGGGACATTCTGCAAACTTTTTTTTTTTTTTTTCTGACGTGTAAAGCTGTAACCACAAATTGTAGCGGCCCTCCCCGGGGTGGGGGGAGGAGGGGGGAGGAGGGAAGGGAGGGCTTCTGGGGCTCCTATCCCTCCCACAACACCGAGGGGGGGTGAGGTGAGGCGAGGCTGCGGCGGTACCACCCTGGGCCTCCTGGGGGAGGGGGCGGGGAGGGCATCAGTCCGTCTGCAGACTCCCCGAGCGAGGGGAGGGAGCCGCCCGCTCCTTTTCTTCTCCGACGGCGTCGACCTGGGGTGCGGGGTCCCTGCGCTCGCCCTACCTCTGACTCCTCATCTCTAACCTTCCCTCCCCTCCCCCTCCCCCTGAGTAAATGCAATGACACATTCTCCCAAATGCCAGCGAGCTGGCTTCGTAGCAAGTGATGGTGTTTTTCCTGCTGCCCTTTGTCTGGGCTGACCGCCCCCCTTGCCTATTGTCCCGCCGCCTGTGCCATTTCCAAAAGCTGGGGCTAAGTGAGGCGCTGGGGCAGGTGACTAACTGGCTCACAATGCCCCCTGGGGTGGGGGAGACAGAGGGCACCACAGGCCCACTGCCCAGCTCTAAGGAAAGTAGAGGGCACTTGGCTGAGGGTTTTCCCCTCAGGTTCACAAGGTTCTTCATTCTTCCCAGTGGCCGGGAGACTGCACATGGGTGGGGGAATTGTACTTCATTAATCAGCACGAGGCACCGGACCAGTTTCAACACCAGAGGCTGCGTGGGTGACTCAGCGGGAATGCTCCCATTCAAGGCGATGGACAGACCAAGAGTCCCCATTTGTGAAATGCTTCCCCCTAAAGACTTTTGGTCTTCTCTCGCCTTTGGGGTGTGGGGTTGTTGGTGTTTTCCAGTGGTGGGGTACGGGGTGGGGGATGGCTGCGGAGTCTCTCCCTCCTTCCTTCCCTCAGGCCTGGGTGGGGACTTGCTAGGCAGGATACCTGGGGGACCCATAAGCCTAGACCCTCTGTAGAGGGTCTCCTTCCCGCCCCCTTTCTCCCCCTCCAGAGAGCTGCCAGGGGAGTGCAGAGGAAAAGGCTCGAGACTGGGGCTTGCAGACATCTCCTCTTGGTGACTTCTTGGGGGACAGTCCTTTGGTCTCCGAGGCTTGAGTGCTCTAGATCCAGACCACCAATTAAATCATTTGGTAATAAGTTGCTTCTGCTGTTTGTTTTTTTACAAAGTGCGAGAGGCAGTGGTGGGCCAGCCCTGGAAGGTGATTCCTCTCTCTGGACTAGCATCAGATTCTCCACTCCACACTCCTGCCCCGGTGCCCCCAGAGAAAGGAGGGGGGTGCCCTGCCAGCCCTGCCACAGCCCCTCCAGGCTGCAGGTCAGAGCCAGGCGGCGTGGTCAGGACCAGTGCTGGGTTCCTAGGCAGCTCTTCCCTTTTCTGCTCTGTGCAGACTGAGGTGGGGGGGTGGGGGGGTGGGGAAGAAGTTTGTTTTCAATTACCTCACTGGAGTGGGACAGACTTTGTTGTTGGTTTTTTTTTTTTTTTTCCTTCTTTCTTTCTTTCTTTTCTAAACAAGGAGAAAAAGAGCTGGGAAAGGGGAGCTGGCCTGGGGTTGGGGGCAGGGGGCTTTCCAGGGCATCAGTAGCAGCTCCGATGAAACCTGCTGGGGGGGGGCGCGGCTCCTTCTGAAAAGTGCTGGGGGGGGGACCTCTTCCCCCTCACCCCTCCACCCCAGCCAGAACTCTGGAGTTTCAATGACATTCTTGGCCGGTGAGCCCCGCGATCTTTTGATGCCCATGCCAAGGTCAAGAAGGCAGATGCCCAGTGGGTGACTGGCACTGAGGCCAGCCATGAGGTCCTCAAGCAGCTTCCGTTTCAGAGGGAGGGAGCCATGAAGGGCTGGGGGTGGGGGGGAGGGCGGGTGTGCAGTCCGTCCTCCCCTGGTTTGCAGCCTGCTCCTTATGGAGAGTGCTGCACAATGTGGTTTGGATTTGGCTGAGCCCCCTCAGCACCTTATAAAGCACCTTGCTGAGTCAGGGAGAAAGCAGCCCCCACACGGGAGAGGAGGAGGGGGCCGGGAGAGAAAGGGAAAAGAGGGAGAGGGGAGCTGAAGGAGGAAGGTGGGGGCTGAGAGAAGAGGAGGGAAAAGAGAGAAGGGAAGGGCAGGAAAGAGGAGAGGCAAGGAGGCAAATAAATGGGTAGGAGTGGGAAGGAGGGGAGGAGGCAGGAGCCCAAGGAGGAAGAGGCACAGACTCAGCAGTGGAAGGGGAGAGAAGCTCACCATGCTGCACCGCCCCCCTCCACACACACACAGCAAATGTTCACCCCAGGAGTCCAGAAACTATTGGTTTGCAGGAACTGAGGGCCAGGGCTCTGAAATGGGGACCCAAGCCAAGTGAGTGCAGGGACAATTGGTTTTACACACAGCCCCCTGCCTCCCAGCTTGATACAGTGACCCCACGTGCTGGGGAAGTCACCTTCTCCCTCTGCCTCTTGTCTAGACTCGCATCCCTGCCCTCTCCCCCCACCCAGGGGGTGGCCAAGCCCCCCCCCCCCATCTTCCCCACTGCCAAAGGGAAAATCAGCTCCATCTCCAAGCTGCTAGTACCCCTCTGCCATGTCCGGGCAAAGACAGCAGGCTAGGAGCTGCCAGTTGGGTTGGGGTGGGGGCTGGAATACAGACCGTGCCTTTCTGCTGCCAAATCCCAGATAGGGTGGGCTGTCGGAACTCGGTTGCGGCGGGAGAAGGAAGAAAGGAGAGGCTGAGCAGGAATAACCCCTCCAGTGTTTCTGTGGGGTGGGGGCACAGGTGACTGCCCTCTGATTCCCAGCTAGGGAATCTCAGGCAAGTTCCCACTCCCCTGTGGCTCTCGGAAAGTGACTCTCGTTGTGGGATTGCTGCTGAGGGCAGGGCAGAGGTTATGGGAGACTCCCGCCCCCTGAGCCCCAGAGCCATCTGTCTTGGTACGTGGTGCAGGCACTTCCTGAACCCCTGCTGGGTGCTAGGCGCTGCCCAGGACTGAGGGGACAAGGAAAACCCACCCTGATCAGAGGACCGAGAGGGCAGGAGAGCCCTGGGAGGAGGTGCAGCCTCAGGGCGGAAATGTGGCTGGATGGCAGGAGGGGCAGTGACATCCTACGCTAGCCCAAGCGGTTCCCTGTGTTTGGCAGAGGGCCAGGCTGGGAGTCAGGATGAGGGGCTTCCAGTTGGCCAGCGTGGTCTTGGGATAAGCCCATCATCTCTCCATGGAATGGGCTATGACCACCTATGCCCTCCCCCCACCACAGGATGATGGGAGATCAGTGAGCTCATGAGAAGGACGCTGCTTTGCTGCCTTCCCTGGCCTTTCAGAGTCCAGGCCTTATCATCCACAGGGGGTGGCAGGCCAGGCCCCAAGGGATGTGGCTGGGAGGGGGGCAGGGCTGGCACCGGGTGATGCCCGAGCTGCCTTCACAGGGGGTGGGGGTGAGTCAGTGTTGGCTCAGGGACAGGCTAGACCCTGTCCCTTCCCTTTCCCTTCCCTCGCTACAGCCATAACTGGGATCCCCAGGGAAGGCCTTCCAGACACCCCCAAAACACCATGTCCCACACAGCTGCAGGATTGGCATTGAAGGGGTCCTGGCCCAGAGGATGTCATGGATTCCTGAATGAGGGAGGCCTCTGGTCCAGTCCTCCTGATGGGTGAGCAGGAGTGTGGTGTGGGAGAAGCTCACAGAGGTAAGTAAGGACACCCTCACTGATTCATGCATGTGTTCACCAAACATTCCCTGGGTACACAGAGAGGAGCCCCATGGGGCCATGGGGATGAGGGATGGAGGCTGACCCGTGTGTAGGCCACAGAGGCAGGGGCCTGCTGGTGCCTGCTGCCATGCCCGGCATTTCTTGGTGACACCTTTACTCCGCTTAGGGCTCTGAGACTTAAATACTGACCATAGTTTAAACATTCTGAGCTCTCACCACATGTTGGGTCCTGGGCTCAGGTTTTGGGGGGACAGTATCATTTCATTCTTACAGTAACCCTGTAAGATGGGAACTGGGATTTACCCATTTTATATGTGAGGACACTGAAGTCACTTGCCTAAGGTCACAAAAGGACTGGAACCCAGCACTGTCTGCCCTTTTAACTACACCGCTCAGCTGCTAACATGCCCCCCCCCGCCCCCAAAAGGGAAGGGGCTGGGTGCCGAGAGGCTCCTGAGGCAACAAGACTTGTCAGCGCCCCCTGGCTATGAGGTAGCTAAGCTGGGCCAGCCTGTCTTTACAGGACAGACGGGATCCTCGGACAGAAAGAGAGCCAGAGACCTGGGCTCTCATGCCCTCCACCCACCGCCCACTGCTGACACGAACGGACAGTGCGCTGCTGGGCCAGGCACCCGACCTGGGCCCTCCTGGGTCGGTGAGAGCACCCTGAAAGCGCTCCATTGCCCTCAGATAGAATTAGACTCCACGAGCAGCCAAGTGGGTTTGAATCACGGACTGAGGACTGAACTGGCTTTTAGGTAGCCCCCAGCCCACAGCCAAGGGGAGGGCTTCCCCAGGCTTCCAAGGGCCCTGACTCTTCCCCCTGCAGAGTCAGGGCTAGGTAGGCTCAGAAGCCCTGCCTGGGCTGCTGGGGCCAGAGGAGGCTCCCTGGGATCCGCATCCCTGAGGCAGCCTCCTCTCCATCACCACGTGCTCGCTGCCCGGAGTGCAGGCCTGGGGGCCACCGAGGGCAGGAGCAGGAGGAAAGGCAGCAGGGCTGTCCACTTTCCCTTTCCCTCTAGTGGGCAGAAGCCCAGAGGGCCTGCCTCACCCTGAGCTGGCAGTGATGTCAGTGGAAACCCCAGGGGTGCTGAGGACCTCCTCCTACCTCAGCCCTGGCCCTACCGTGCCCTGCATCCCCCACCCACACCTGGACGGGCTCAGCCTCCTGGGGGACACCGCGCCCACCTGCCCCCTGCTTATGAGGCTGAGAGGAGCCCAGTCCTGCTGCCTGCCTCTCCCCTGCCCTATCTAGGCTTTGTCTCCCCATCCCAAGGATGTCTGGGTGATGAGTGAGTGAGGAAGGCAGGGGCAAAAGGGGTACCCCAAGGTGCTCGACTCCTCCCTTGCCTGCCAGGAGCTTTCCCTGCCATTCTCCCAGGATGTTCCATTGCCCTGGCCAACCCATGCCTCGGGCTCCGTGACTCCGTCTCCCCTGGCAGAGGAGTGGGGTTACCTCTTCCTGGGCTGGAAGATCCTTATCCTGCCCTGCTGAGTCACTGCCGGCTCCTCCCGCTTGGTCCCCTCCCTCCCCACTGGCCTCCCTCCTTCAGACTTCTCAGGCTTTCTCCAGAGTGTCTGGGTTCCTCAGGGTCTCCAGGGGTCAGAGGACAGCAGCACCTCCCTGG